GGGCTTCCTGGAATCAGCCGCTGATCAGTTTCAGCAGCAGCTGACTTGGGGATGCCTGGGGTTCTTAAGTTGAATCTGTATGCAGCGGCTGAATCTGGATGCCAGTTCCGACTTACATACAGATTCAACTTAAGAACAAACCTACAGTCCCTATCTTGTACGTAACCCGGGGACTGCCTGTATCATAGATAGAGATACGTACAGTGCAAACAAATTCCCCCACCACGTCCCCCTGGTGGAATACAATGAAATTTCACCTGGCATCGTCGTCTCGAGCTATGAGAAGGCGCATGTGGCTGGTGGCGGAGGCTGTCCGGAGAATATCCACAGCTCTGAAGAAAGACAAGAAGAACTATCAGGTGTGAGAAGTGGACAAGCGGTCACTTGTCAAAGGGCTCACACATCAGCGTGTCAAGCTCAACAGTGAGCCGGGTATTGGGCAAACCTCAATGGCAGCTTTTTGGCAGGGGCCAATGACAGACAGAACATCTCCCAGGTTCCCCCCCTTCCCCCGATTCCCTTGTGCAGCAGAAGAGCTGGAGGGGAGGTAAATCACAGACCAAGTTTCCTCACTGCTGCATGAGCCAGGGACCCACAAATAACATGACTAACCTAAGAGCAAATATTTCCTAGCTACCGTCTACACAGTGAACCTTCCTTCCCTCACGCATGGCCTGATTCAGACCCAGGGTTGTGAGTTCAATCCTTGAGGAGGCCATTTAGGAATTTGGGGCAAAAAATCTGTCAGGGATGGTACTTGGTCCTGCTGTGAAGGCAGAGGACTGGACTTGATGACCTTTCAAGGTCCCTTCCAGTTCTAGGAGATAGGCAATCTCCATTCATATCAGCCCTAGCTCTAGGAGACAGGCAATCTCCATTCATATCAGCCCTTCCACACTCATGTATCAAGCCCACAGAGCGTGCGCCTGTTCTCTACTAGATAGACACAGGTAAGTCTCTCTGTATGTGCCATGGGCCATGTACTGCTAAAATCTAATGGGGATTTTCTGTCACCTAACGCAAAAGGGACCAGAGCCTGCCATTTGCCAGGTCTCCATGTAGCTGTTTTGGGCAGCACCATAACAATGAAAAACTCCGAGGCAGCCACAAATGTACTAAGCTGTTTGAAGAACAACACACGCCCCTGGACATTTTAACCATCAAGCTTTTCTCTGAGAAAATTCCCGTGCCTGATGCGTGCACTGCGAGTGTCTCAGTTATGCTGTGACCCTCTTGGCACACAGAGACGTGGGGCAGACTGCAGCCCACAGGCGAAGCCATGTTGGGTCCATGCACACAGTGCCACACTGGCTGTTCTCCTGCCTGGCTGCTAGCAGAGGGGCATGCTGGGAAATGGGGCTTGAGGATGGGGGCCTACCAGAGGCAGGAGGAGGACTGTCCAGAGCACTCAGCACTGTAGCAATTCTGGGATGCGAAGCAGCTCATAGTGTGCCATGGAGAACTACCAGAAGGTATTGCAGCCCCCTGGAATAACCTGACTTATGCCCGGGGCCGTTTAGACTCCTGGAGCATCCCAGACCCTGGAGGTTCATAGCTGGTTTATAGAATCATAGAATCCTAGGGCTGGAACAGACCTCAAGAGCCATCAAGTCCAGCCCCCTGCCCTAGGCAGGACCAATCCAACTCAATCAACCCAGCCAGGGCTTTGTCAAGCCGAGACTTAAAAATCTCTAGGGATGGAGATTCCACCACCTCCCTAGGTAACCCATTCCAGTGCTTCAGCACCCTCCTAGTGAAATAGTTTTAACTAATATCCAACCTAGGCCTTTACTATTTTACACAAGAGGCACAGCCCAGAATCAGACGACTTGTACTGTGTTTGCACAGGGTCCGGTGCACAGTTATTGCACAAAGTGGGAAAGTAAAAATGCTGGGGCAATGACGTTATCTGCACTTCTGACTTCAGAGGGTGGGTAGGTTCAGGTTGAGTTTGCATTCCGGGTGAAGGTTAAAGTCCCTTCCAATACAGTTTGGGTCCTTTGCTCCATTACAAGGAAGTTCTTCTTGACAGAAGAGCTTTACAGGGATGCCGTTCTAGGAAAGGAGCTTGGATAGACAGCACTAGAACTAGAAGCCCATTGTTTATGGACAGATCATGAACCGCAACAACACTGCAACGTTTTCCATGCCAGCTGTTCCCCAGCACATACTACTGGTTTTCATGGAACTGGAATGAATGTGTTTGGCTATGGTACCTCTCACTTGTGACTCCAATCAGGGAATCTCCATTGACCTCCAAGATCTGGTCTCCTGGCTGCAAACGTCCTAAACAAAGAAACCAGGAAGCATTGAAGGGATGATTAATTTCCTGCCCTCTGCTTTAATTCCCTGGAAAGCATAAAGGCATATCACAACATGCAGGGCTTGAGGGCTCTAGAATTGCTTCTGAATCTGGGGATGCTAGTGTTTATACGTTGGGATTGTTAGATCCATTTGGTAGCGGATCATCAGAGGGGAAAATTGCTTCTGAATCTGGGGATGCTAGTGTTTATATGTCGGGAGTGTTAGATCCATTTGTTAGTGGATCAACAGAAGGGAAGAAACAATGCTGGCTCTGGTTCAAAAGGGTCAAATTCTGAGAATTCTGTCCATTTCCTGCTCCCTTTTACTCAGGAGGGACTTGCTGGACGTTCACCTGAGTGAAGAGCGAGCAAAAATCAAACAAGTGTCTCTTTGTGGACTGGAGCCAGCACACGGATGTTATTCGTTTTTAAAAGCGGAACCCTACATTGCAGCGAATCGGCTGTGTAGCATGGATATGTCTCAGGGCACGGGGTGGAGTGAATCATCTAAACACCTGAGACCCAAGAGAGCAGGCTCGGCCTTAGACACTGAAAATCGTTTGCTAGAAGATCTAGAAGCAGGTTAAGGAAGAAGCTTCAGCAATAGGCTCAGTATAACTGCATGATGTGAGCAAATATAGTATCACTACTCGACTGCCCATGGCTCCTCACTCACCGTCAGCATAAGCCACGCCCCCTGGTAGGATCCTCTTTACATAAACGCCATATTCTTCTCTTGTCAACTCCCTGACACCACCAATGACCTTAATACCTAGGAAGAAAAGTCACTCAATTACACAGCAGCTAGTGCCAGGCATAACTTCCACAGAACAGCGCTACCAGGGGGAGGGGAGGGTATGGAGATTGACAACTCCCAGAGCAGCCAACCAATGTCAAATACATCTCCCCTTCACCCCCAACTTGATTCCACAGATTTCTCCAGAAGGATGAAGCCTTTGATTTACACACAAGGTAAATCCAAGACATAGTCACATACAAATAATTAATATTTGGGACAATGATACTTCCCCAGGGTTTCAACAATGCCAGCCAATGTTGGGACAATTCCGCACAAACACGGCAATCACTCTCTCAAACAGCAAATTCTCTTAGCGGGCTTCATCAACGGGACACGTGGAAATATCTGGGATGGAGGATGCAAGCCAACTAGATGATTACAACAGCACCCCAAGTCAGAGGAGTGCCAGTGGCTGTTCTGCAGGGAGGAGACTGGCTGTTGGCCACCTTGGGCAGTAGACAGTGCTCCATCCCAACCCAGGTCCTCTGTCCATCATGGTCAAGAAACAGTGTGCTGAACTGGCAACAGGAAGTGAGGAGCAGACCCCAATGGCTGAGAAGGAGGAAGAGACACTTGTCCTCAAGGCTGGGAAGCTCAATTCCTTAAATAGATTTTTCCCCAGGGCAGGAGCCTGTTGTTCGGTCAGGGCAGGAACCCGTTGTTCGGTCTCCCCATCTCCATGGAAAAGTACCAGATTCAAGATAGATTCTAGTACCAGGTGGCATGGTCACACATCTTTCTAGGACCAACCACAGTTTGGGCTTATTTGGGAAAAATAAAACCATTCATGGGTCATTGGTTCGAGTACTGAGCCATTAAGTTCCTAACATATCATTAATGGTCCTCATTAGCACATTTAGAATTAAAAACAGATGCACACTTCCTATTTTTAACTTCACATACAAGAATGATGCATGCACAAAAATGTGATATTTCCATTCAGCAGATTGTAACTTTAAAATTGATAGGTTACAGGATGCATTTTGCATGAAGTATCTTCAAGTTATGCATATTCATATTCATAAATCAATTTTCATAAAGCATTGGGGGACAGCATGACACCTGGATTATGGGATGCTGTTCTGGGAAGGAGGACTGCTTGGAAGTGACAGGGTCCAATTGACCAAGAAGGGGAAGAGCTAGAGCTACCCACAGATAAGCATAAAATAGGTGACTTTAACAGAGGGGCTAAATGTTTGAGGGGGGGAATAAAAATTACAATGGCATCACAGGAGCAACAAGAGGGAACTCAATGGAGGAATTTGCTTAGAATATGCCAAACAGGAAGAACTAGAAGTTTTAGTATGTATGCTAAATTACAACTTAATTGGCATCAGAGAGATTTGGCAGGATAAATTTCTTGACTGGAATAATATTGAATGAGAGGGTATAGCTTGCTCAGGAAGGACAGGCAGGAAAAAAGAAAGGTAATGTTGCATTAGAAAATGTATATATATATATATATATATATATATATATAAAAACACTTGTTTTGAGGACCAAATGGAGGTGAGAGGCAGACCAATCAAAGGAGAAAAATAGGGGTGACTTCATGGTAGTGGATTACTACAGACCACCAAATCAGAAAGAGGAGGTAGACAAAGGAGTTCTAGAACAAACAACAGAAATATCCAAAACAAGATTTGCTAGCAATGAGGGAATTTAGCTACTCCAACAATTAAATAAAGACGGGGTCTGAAATTGACAAGATGAAAGTCAATACAGAAATGCCCAACTACAAAATGGGGAAGAACTGCTTAGGTGGCAGTGCTGCTGATGGGGATCTGGGGGTTACAGTGGATCACAAATTGAATACGAGTTGATAACCTAGAAAAGTTGCAAAACCAAGCTGATCTCACTCTGGATTGTCGTATGTATGACACAGATGGTAGTTGTCCTAGTCGGATGAGGCCTTAGCTGGAGTCCTGTGTCTAGTTCTGGGTGGGACATTTTAGGAAAGATGTGGAAGGATTGCAGAGAGTCCAGAAGAGAGCAAACAATAATGACAACAGGTTTAGAAAATCTATCCTCACAGGAAAGGTTAAAAAAACCTGGGCAAGTTTAGTCTTGTGAAAAGTGGAGACATGAGAAGGGTCTTTACATTAAGGATGTTAAGGACCAGTCGACTGGTCGAGTATCCAATGTGCAAATGCTTATTGGATAGTCAAGTTGACTAGTCGCTCCCCTCCCCCCCTTTGCTGCCCCAGTAAGGGCTCCCATGCGGCGCTGCCACTTTGAAACGCCATGGTGGCATTTCAAAGTGGCAGCACCGCGTGAAGCCCGGGGTCAGCTGGGGACTCCCTAGCTGACCCCGGGCTTCATCCGGCATTTCCATGGAAACTGGAATCAGGTGGGGAGTGCCCAGCTGATCCCAGGTTCCGTGGAAATGCCACGCAGCGCCCGGGATCAGCTGGGGAATCCCGAGCTGACCCTGGCTCCATATTTCAAAGTGGCAGCGTCACATGGAGCCTGGGGTCAGTGGGGGACTCTGAGTCCCCCGCTAACCCCAGACTCCATTCAGGCACTTCCGCTTTGAAATGAACACCGCGTGCAGCCCGGGGCCAGCGGGAAGTCCCACTGACTCTGGGCTCCACATGGGCGCTTCCATTTTGAAATGCACATGAGCCCTTTGGCTCTTGTGCATTTCAAAGCATGTGGAGCCGGAGAAAGTGGGACTTTCCGCTAGCTCAGGCTGCACGCAGAGTTCCCGCCGGGGCTCTTGCACATTTCAAAGGCAGAATGCAGAAGTGCCTATCGACTAGTCGAGTAGTCGATGGAAATTCCATTGACTACTCAACTAGTAAATTAACTGATATTTAACATCCTTACTTCAAATACGCTACACACAAATAGAACTGTGATCAATTGTTCTCCTTGTCCATTCAAGGTGCAACAAGAAATAATGGGCTTAATCTGCAGCAAGAGAGATCTTGGTTAGATATTAGGAAAAACTTTAAGACTAATTAAGCATCGGAACAAGCTTCCAATCCAGGGAGGTTTTGGAACCTCCATCACTGGTGGCTTTTAGGAACAGGCTGGACAAACACCTGTCAGAGAGGGTCTTGCTTTACTTGATCCTGCCTCAGGATATATAGGCACCTCTCAGTCCCTTCCAGCCTCACCTTTCTGTGATTCTACAGCACTCACCAGCTCCTTCATTCGCCTCTCCTTGCCAAAAACGTGTGGAAGCAGCGTGTGGGTTGTAGAAACGTTTGGGGAGAGGGCACGCCTTGCAACCATGTAGCCTGGTTGGTGGGCCCAGCCTGTGAACTGCCTGGGCTTGGGAGTCAGCCACTGAGAGAGCAGAAACAACAGTTTCTGACCTGGGTGCCCAAGGACACAGCTTGAGCCACAAGTGATGAACAGAGCACACACAACTCAACTGCCATGGAGTAGAGTAGCCAAGGAACCTGGAGCTCAGAAATGTCTCCAGAGACCTCCCCATCAAATCACTTCCCCTAGACAAAGTCATCTAAATCCAGTTCTGCTGGTGGATAAATGCCAAACACCTAGGCCTAAGGTCTCTGATCACTTTTTGTGGACAGGACAATAGCACCTTCAGCCCCCCCAGGGTGGGAGGTCGGGGGGGAAGAGATCTTCAACTCCTGCCACAACAGAAGTGTTCAACCCAGCGCTGGACTTAACACGGGGAAGAGAAACGTCCCTGTTCACATTCGCCGTTTGGCACATGTTGCAGGGCACCCTCTGGTGGCAGCGTCACAGAGATAAAGCCCCTTAGCAGAAGCAGTAGAGATCCTGCTTAAAGAGGGAGCATTTGTGACTTGGGCAGAGCAGACCGGAGACAGGAACCAGAACGCAGGGCACACGACTATTCCACAACCCGGCACAGCAGTGCCACAGAAGTGTCCCACGTTTTCACGTTGAAAAGCTGGGCACCTCGCATTCAGGACTCTAGCCATATTGAGGGATTACAGCTGGTGTCCTGGCAGGGCCTTGGAGAATTCCCAGCAGCGAAATTCCACACAGGAGCGTCCCAATAATTCCGTCTGGCACGGCTCTTTCTTTGTTGCATCCATCTGTGTACGCCAGCTCAGATCACCTCACCTAAAGCAAGCCGTGCCATCTCAATGCCAACTGAGCTTTCTCAGTAAATTCCTCCAGGCCACCATGGGAATTCCTTGGCGGGGAAGCGATCTACGTGGCTTCCAGCCTCTTTATACCACTGAAGTCAGACATAAGAGCAAGTGCATAGCCCCAAATCGGAGCCGAGCATCCCTGCGTAGCATTCGAGAGATTTCTGTGTGAAGAGCAGAGTAAGAGCTTTGAGATTCCTCGGTGACTGGACCCCACGACACACGTCTGGCAGAGCTGGTGTTATTTTGAAATAACACATGGCCATGCTGAACTACATAAGCTGCTTGGCAGGAAGAGGCAGAGGAAACTGATTTGCCGCGGGCTCATTAAATCCCAATTCTCAGGCTCGGGATTGTGGGCCGTGAGATTAAGAACACTGGCTTCAATTAACAAATCTTCCCACAGATCCACTGACCAGACTTTTGACTGCTCTGAAGGTGTTATTTTGAAATAACACATGGCCATGCTGAACTACATAAGCTGCTTGGCAGGAAGAGGCAGAGGAAACTGATTTGCCGCGGGCTCATTAAATCCCAATTCTCAGGCTCGGGATTGTGGGCCGTGAGATTAAGAACACTGGCTTCAATTAACAAATCTTCCCACAGATCCACTGACCAGACTTTTGACTGCTCTGAATCCAAGGCAGGACAGCAAGGAAGGTTCAATCCTATCCCCCCCCCCACACACACACACACAGGGGACATTGTAGTTCCACTAGGAAAGCAGCCTCCTGGGCTCCTTATGTCCAACGCTTCCTCCTCGAACACCTCTGAAAAATCCCAATCAGCGGGACTCTTTTTTGATCAATAGTTTTTCCAAGGAGGCTCCACAGCAGATCTGTGACCTTCATGCCATGCGAAAGGATCTTGATGGAGGTT